AAAAAAAAAAAAAGAAGAAAAATAATTAGTGATATGAAAAGAGAGAAAAAGTCAGAGAAAGGATGAGATAGGCACATTCACACCCAGAAGAGACACACAGAAGATATAAGAAACCCATATATATATATATATATATATGAGTTTCCTCTACTATTTATACTTGCCCTGATGAATAGTGAAGATTGGATTCCATTTTCAAGTCCCAGAGTCCCACGTTTCAGTTTAGAGAGCCCTCATTCAGAAAAACATCAATGTGTGGTCTTGAAATCGTCCTTGGATTTTTTTAGTCCTCTAATTGTCCTAACAGATGTCTTCATGTTCCATTGGCCTCCATTCTATTTACTTGACAGTCCAGGTACCATTACAAAAACAGTTACCATCACGTTTTGGGCAAACCATTGTGATGATCACTTTGGCTATCAGTACTCTTCAAATAAAAATTAATACACATATTTAGGAGTTACAGTGGTCTGCACAATGCAAGATTTACACAAGACACGATAACTGAACAAAAAGCACTGCTTCAGGAAAAAGATGAATTTCAATGGAGAATCATTTTAGGACTGAAATAGGTCCATAGGAAATCTCACATATCAAAATTAACCCAGTAACGTGCCAGAAAAAAAAAATGGTAATTCAACTCTATGTCCAGTTTCACAAATACTCACAGGACAGTAATCCGGAAGCACTGATGATGACCCATACAAACTAGGCCAGCTCGGTTGAGGAGTCAAACGGGAAGACTTTGTTGGCACAATTCCTCTCCAATCAGAGAATGTTTTGTCTGTTAGAAATATCAATGTAGGTTAAAACAATTTTTATTCAAGAAAAGTACACACTGATCATACTTCTTAGTGTTACAAAGAGGAAAGTGAATCATCTTTATGGCCCCATTATTCTGTATTAAAATCACATCTTGTCATCTAATCAGGGAGATGGAGAAGCCATAGTACTGCACAGAGAGGCCTCAGTTAATTGGCTCTCTCATACAGCGAAGCTCTTGTGTTTTTATTGCGAACAGCGTGCCCATCAGAAAATAGGTTCATTCTTTTGACTCTCTTCTCTTCAAGAACACTGACTTCTTTTTTTAAATATGATTTTAAAGCAAAATCATATTTGTGAGTAGCACTTACAAAAATCAAAGGAAAGCTTCTCTCTCTCTTACATCAGTACTTTAAAAGAAAAATCAGAATTATGATGAAGGCACACGTTTTGAAATTGCAAAGTAAGTGAAATTATTAAGAGTGCTTAAGTAAATAGGTTGAAAGAGGAAAAGGTCAGCCAACATATACCCACATATTTCTTCGGTCTCATGACAGTTGTTAACATGGGATTTCTGCAAAGAAATTTTTTTTAAAAGATGACGAGATTTAAGATTTATTTATTTCTCAGAAACATTAATCATTTAAAAGAAGGAAAAATTCAGTTCGATCCTACCATCCAAAATGAATCAAACTGTTTTCACATTTCCAATTTTCTTTCTAATACTTATTTATATACATATATTCTTTTCCTGAAACTTTCGATTTAATAGAGTCATCTATGGACTGGCTAATTTAAGATAAATTTAGAGAAAACTCAGAAGTAATAAATTTTCTCATTTCATTGCTTCAATTTACTTACAGGATCATAAGTTAAGTGTCTTATAGGGAGGCAGAGTGGGAACATAAAAGAATAAAAAATGTAATGTTATCTCAGAGATATTCCAATCAATAACATGCACACATCTACCCCGTTTTGATTTTATATGTATATAATTTCTCCCATTTCAGTCAAAAAGAATCTTTGTCCTCTATCAAAAAGGCAAAGTCTCTAGAAGAAGCAACATAAGTAATCATATATTTCAATCACAACTCAATATGAATAAATAAAATTCTTTAGTGGAAACAAATGCCAATAATGGAAAGATTATGAAGAAAGTGAACGTATTAGCATCTGGAAAGAGGCTAGCAAAGGAAAGGCCATACACATTATACTTTAACAGGGGACTTTTATAACCCCAGGGGGATATAAAAGGAGAGCATAGGGTTATTAAAGATGTATAAGCTCTCACATTTCCTATGAAGCTTTCTTGAGTAATTTGAAGCATTCCTCAACTCACTAGCATTATCTCTGGCCCACCTACTTCCCTTAATGAACTTCTACAATAAGTGTTCTCACATTTTAGATAATTGGGCATTTCACATTTTAGATAATTGGGCATCTCTTTCCAATCTCTTTTTAAATTTATAAACCCTTTCAGGACAAAGACAGTATCTTGGTTGGAATTGCTCCATGCTTCTGGTTCGTCAGCAATGCAATTAAGGTAGCTATGTAAACACTGGTGAACAAGAATTAGCCTCCGGAGGTGAGATCTCACAGGCAAAGGGAGTCTTCCTGATCACTGAACTGCCCAACCCAAAATGAAACTAAATGCTATACAAATTATTTTTCCAAGACAGTCCAGAGCACTTCAAATATTTTATCTTGTTTACCCACAAAACAGACTCATGTAGTTGAGAAGGCCATGCATTATTTTCTCCGGTATATAGGTATCACACCAGAAAATATAACTTTTCCACTTCAAGAAGCAGTAAACCTTCCACTAAAATCCTCAAGGTAATCATTCACACGCTGACGTATGCTAATGACTCCTCTAGAAGCCAGGCACAGAAGGTGACTTGCTTCAAATTCCAGTTTATTCCACAAAGTCAGTCAAAAGTTATAAACTCCGTTTCCGTACAGACGCCTAGAAGCAAACACCATGGCGAAAGCCGGGGATAAGAGCGGCAGCCGGGGAAAGAAAAGCCTGAAACGGAAAGCGACCGCCGAAGAACCTCAGGAGGCTGCAGCCGCTGAGGATGGGGCGCCGGAAAGCGGGGTCCAACTCCCGAAAGCGGCTGCCTTCCCCCCGGGTTTCAGCATTTCGGAAATTAAGAACAAACAACGGCGACACTTAATGTTCACGCGGTGGAAACAGCAGCAGCGTAAGGAAAAGTTGGCAATTAAGAAAAAACTTAAGAAAGAGAGAGAAGCTCTTGGTGACAAGGCTCCACCAAAGCCTATACCAAAGACCACTGACAACCAGAGAGTATATGATGAAACTGTAGTAGACCCTAATGATGAAGAGGTTGCTTATGATGAAGCTACAGATGAATTTGCTTCTTACTTCAACAGACAAACTTCTCCCAAGATTCTCATCACAACATCAGATAGACCTCATGGGAGAACAGTACGACTCTGTGAACAGCTCTCCACAGTTATACCAAACTCACATGTTTATTACAGAAGAGGACTGGCTCTGAAAAAAATTATTCCACAGTGCATTTCAAGAGATTTCACAGATCTGATCGTTATTAATGAAGATCGTAAATCACCAAATGGATTAATTCTAAGTCACTTGCCAAATGACCCAACTGCTCATTTTAAAATGAGCAGTGTTCGTTTGCGTAAAGAAATTAAGAGAAGAGGCAAGGACCCTACAGAACACATACCTGAAATAATTTTGAATAACTTTACAACGAGACTGGGTCATTCTGTTGGGCGTATGTTTGCATCTCTCTTTCCCCATAATCCTCAGTTTATTGGGAGGCAAGTTGCCACATTCCACAATCAACGGGACTATATCTTCTTCAGATTTCATAGGT